GCGGAGGCGCGGCAGCTGGGGCAGCTGTGGGGCTTCCGCGTGGGGGCCTGCGAGAGCAGCTTCCGCGCGAACTCCAAGGCCCTCGCCGAGGCCGAGCCCGAGGGCCTCCTGAAGGCCCTCTGGCGCGAAGACACGGGGCTGCTGCTGGGCTGCCACGCCGTGGGGCCCCACGCGGCGGAGCTGCTGCAGCAGTGCGCGAACGCGATGGCCGCGGGCGCCTCTGTGGGGAAATTGGCCCAAACGCCCCACACCCACCCCACCCTCAGCGAGGCCCTCCTCGCCCTCTGGAAGCAGGCCGCCGGGCTGCTGCCCCACTGACGGCCCGCGGGGCCCGCGCCGGCTGTACAGACACCCACCGCTCGACGCGCGCGCTCCTGCGCTGTGCAGACACCCCGCCGCCGTGCGGATGCGCGCACCGCCGTGCAGAGGCCCCCCACCGGGGTGCGGATACACCCCACCGGGGTCAGATACACCCCACCGGGGAGCAGATACGCCCCGCCGGGGTGCAGATACACCCCAGCGCTGGGGAGATACACCCCAGCGGGCAGCAGATACACCCCAGCGCTGTGCAGATACACCCCAGCGGGCAGCAGATACACCCCAGCGCTGTGCAGATACACCCCAGCGGGGTCCAGATACACCCCAGCGCTGGGGAGATACACACCCCAGCGCTGTGGAGATACACCCCAGGCGCGTGGAGATACACCCCAGGCGCGTGGAGGAGAGTCACGCCGGTGGGGTGTACAGACACCCTAGTGGGGTGTACAGACGCCTCGCCGCAGACCCCGCGGAGGCGCCTGCAGCGGCGGCTGGGGTGGAGAGACACTGCAAACCCCGCAGAGCTCGGCGCCCTGCTGGGGTGTACGTACACCCCAGAATGCGCGGACCCGGTCCACACGGGATCGAACCCGCTGTCTCCTCCCCAGGCCTGCGCAGCCGCAGCCACGGGGAGGCAGCACGGGGACTCACAAGGAGACACGAGCCGCAGCAGCAACAGCAGCAGCAGCAGCAGCAGCAGCATGGGCTCAGAGCCTCGCTGGCCGCCGCAGCTGCTGCGGCTGTCTCCCCCGCGCAGAAGGAGA